TGAAATACCGCAGAGCTTGAGCAGTAAAATTTAATTAAAATGTAAAATTAGTCATGAAACTTAAGTTTAATTAAATGAGAAATGCTTTAATTTTATAGATGTACTTTTTTTATATAAACTATGAAAAACGACTTTACTATTTGACAGCTTTTTCAAATTATTTTGACAGATGTACCAACTTTGATTTGATAAGCAAAGACTCTATTATTTTACAATATTTGAAATACTTCTGACAGATGTATCAACTATGATTTAATTGAACACAATTCTACAAGAATTAGCATAGGTTATCCAAGTTTTCCAAATACTTATGACAGCTGTCAGATGTCAATTTAGATTTGGTTACACATAATACTTAGAAGTGAAATAGAAGTAATAGTTGTTTCTATAGAGTAGAAATAAATGAATAATTATGGGTTTGTCACTATAATGGAATTGTAGAAACAGCTGTTCCTCTTACATATTAAGCAATCGCAGCTGATTCTGTTATGATAACTGTCAATTAAGTGACAGTTAGATACTAAAAGTAAAACAAAAAAAAGAAATATGCAAAGATTTGACAAGTTTTTCAAATATCTCTGATAGATGTCATATGTCAACTCTGATTTGGTTACATAAAAGTGAAATAGAAGTAACAGATGTTTCTATAGAGTAGAAATATGGGTTTGTCATTAAAATGGAATTGTAGAATCAGCTGTTCTAGTATATCTACCAACTTAAATGAGTGATATCATCAATATTTAGTTGTATATGGTTACTTACATTTTGTCAATTTGCTCTGATAGTTAAATTAAGATAACTGTCAATTAAATGACAGTTAGATTCTAAATTTAAAACAAAATAAGAACTACGAGAATATGCAAAGACTCTCCTATTTGGTAAGTTTTTCAAATACTTTTGACATACGTCAGATGTCTACTTTGATTCTTAGAACTGAAATAGAAGTTACAGTTGATTCTATAGAAGTATTATAAATGAAAAATATAAATTGTAAAGTCATGAAAACTCGGTTCTTTTACTGACTTTTATAATGAAAAATCTGTGTTTGTTACTGAAGTGAATACTTAGAAAAAGTAAGAAATTTCACTTTTTATCAAGTTGCTCATACAAATTAAGAAATCACAGCAGATTGTTTGAATTCAATTATGATAACTGTCAATTAAATGACGTTAGATTATAAAAATAAAACAAACCAAAAAAACTAAGAGAATATGCAAGGAATCTCCTATTTGGTAAGTTTTTCAAATACTTTTGACATATGTTAGATGTCAACTTTGATTCTTAGAAGTGAAATAGAAGTTGCAGTTGATTCTATAGAAGTATTATAAATGAAAAATATAAATTGTGAAGTCTTGAAAACTCGGTTCTTTTACTGACTTTTATAATGAAAAATCTGTGTTTGTTATTGAAGTGAATACTTAGAAAAAGTAAGAAATTTTACTTTTTATCAAGTTGCTTATACAAATTAAGGAATCACAGCAGATTGTTTAAATTCAATCATGATAACTGTCAATTAAATGACGTTAGATTATAAAAGTAAAACAAACCAAA